ATGCTATATACATACAGAGCATACACTACAGGACATGTGACACCCATAGTGTTTGGCTCCAGTCAAATGAATCTCACAAGGCTAGATGTTATAGAAGCAAGGAGACAGGTCCATGTTAGGAATAGGAATTTATTTACATTCAAAATAGTGAAATAAAAACACCAGTATCATGTAGAGCGGGTTAATATGAACATTTTAAGACCAAAATGATGAGACTCACTGCAGCAGTTACAGAGAGAGGGGTGACAATTTTCCAGTGTAAAGTCAAAGTTGATGGAGCCAGAAGTGTCCCTGTGAAGACTTCCTATGTGGAATGCAGCAGCTTGCAGGTTAGCTACATCCATTTATATACAGTCTATGATATAGACATAGCAGTACTAATCTACACTTCATTACTACTACTGGTACTGCTGCTATTGTCACTAATCTCCGTGTCTTGACAATTATTACTGCATTCATAACACTACAACCTAATACTATTACAATTTGCTTCCCTTCTAGATCATGTACCACTGATACCTCCATGATGCTGCCGATTCTGTACATGTACACACGTCTTGTAGTTACAGGGTTGTTTCTCAAAATGACTGCTTTTACGTTCTGGTGCAGTAGCCTACAGCAAACAATCCATCCATTTAATGCAGTATGATAGTACGACAGTATGATAATCTGAAAATATGGCAGTATGATAGTATTATAGTATGATAGTATGCTACCCCTTCTCACTTTTACCATCCCAATCAATACCACTTTTACCATACCACATGAATATAGAAATCAGATATCAACCAATATGCATTTTTTCATGGCTGGTGCAGATACTGATTGTATAGAATCCAGAGAAATTGACGGCCGATAAGCTTTGCCGATATTTTTGGGTTGATATGTAGATATGTATTTTGGACATTTTCCCCAAATTATCCAATTAGAATCCAGTAATTATCTGCAATCTTGTTTTACTACAAACTGTGTAGAGAGCCTTGTAGTCATATTTTTGCAGTGCCTTTTTTGGACAAAAGTGTTCAAACAAAGCTTTATGCATATTTTTCATGCACATTTAGGCAGCTGGTTGGCCCAAACAAAAGATCAGCCTGCTGGAAATTTAAGGCCAACAGCCAAAAACGCTAAAAAAAAATGCAAATATCAGCCTATTTCTATCTCTAATTGGTGGATGCCAGTGTTGACTATCCAATATGCATTGAGCAGCACACATCAGACATAACTATGAAATATTAAAGTCCTGCACACTAGAGGGGCAGAAGAAGAACATTAGCTAGAGCCCATTTCCCAAACTGTATTCTGCAGGTTTTACTCTCCACAGCCCCTAGATCTGAAACATTTAGTATATCGATGGTCATTACATTGATGCTCATCTCCAACCTGGCCAGACCTCCAGTCATTTTGTCCTGCCAAATCATTTAACTCAGAGGAGAAAATACTAACTCCAGGCTAAAAACTATCTGCCTGTATCTGCCATCTGTGGCTGGCAAGTGACATGTGCACGGTGTGCCAAAGTGTAGGTGAGGACTGCTGTCAGTTATAATGGTCAATCTATATAGTGTTTGTAGAAGTAGTAGTGGTAGTAGTCATAGTAGTAGTAGTAGTTTAGAAGTAGTAGTTATAGTAGTAGTCGTAATTGTACAAGTTGTAGTTGTCATCAAAGTATTATGCAGTAAGGTAAGGTAGTAAGTAATTAACGTAATTACAGTAATAACAGTCATAGGAGTACAGTACATGTCAGCTGTTGAAGTTATAATACTATACTCAAAATACTAAATACGAAATCTTATTTGAAATTCAGTTTCATAATCTTACGAGGCATATGTTTTGATAACCTTTTGAAAAGTCCAGTATACTACCAGGCCTGTACTATGGCATACGGCACTGGTCTAAGCCACTGACACATATAGCATCCCAACAGCCCTATAGTTTGCTGACCTTCTTTTCCTTAATCTCGGCCGTCCCTCTATCTTGGCCAATGCAGCACAATGGACTCAACTCAAATCTCATATAATTCCCTTCACCATTATCCAGCACACACTCTCTCTTTCTCTCTCTCTCTCTCTCCCTCTCGTCATGTAACCTCCGCCTTCATTTATATTTCATCAGCGAGCTTGTTCATATCAAAAGATGAGGTTTTCTCCTTTTCATGTACTGAGTCCATACCATCCATGAGGCCACACTGTTTCTTTCATTCTTGCCAAAATGCATCAATTTAAAAAAGCTCAAGTCATGTGCCTTGGAGATCAAAGATTTTTTTAAAGCCACCGAGCAACTCGCAACATTCCCTTTCACTAGTTTTCATCCTTTTACTCAGTTCTTCTAGTTTTTTGTTTTGTTTTGTTTTTGAAGTAGTGGGTGCCATGTACCTCACCCATCCCTTTCTATACTAATTATGATAATTTAACTTTTGGGTAGAACTGATCAGACTTAACACAAATAGGACAAACTTTGACCTTCCCTGAAATGTTTTTGCTCTCTGTCTATGGAGCAGCAATAGCTCAGCTGAGTGGAAAGTACAGTATATACTCCCAGCATAAACATCATGGGTGCAACTTTCGGCTCCACTGACCCAAGGGTTGGCTGATTAGTCCCAACTCACAAAGGTGAATGCAGTTGTTGTTTCCTAAAGCAAGACACTTAACCCATCTCGCCCCAGTATCAGCTTAAACTGTTGTATGAATATGTGTGAATAGAAGAGTGCTTCATTTAATGCCTTGAAGGTAAAAATGCGCTGTATAAAATAAAGAAATTAAAATGATTTCAAGTGGAAAATGACATTGTAAAAAATAATAGAAAAAGTGTTTATTAATATTATGACATCAAAATCTGTATTGTGTACAGTACTGAGTCTCCTTATTAGTAATGTAAAGTTTGAAATGTTAGTATTTTTGACCATCTGCCTGTGTCTGCCTGTACACAACATCAAACTGAACAGATCTGGTGAATAGCCCTCTCTGGAGCCCTAAACCCTAACTCTCTGGAACCTATCCATTAAATAAAGCCAATGGAGAAAGCTATATTGGGATTCAGCGTATAATCTTAAACCAAAACTGGAGTGACAACCATTTCAGTGTTCTCAAGTAAACAGTATGCTTTTGCCCCGTTCACATTTGGACAGCCTGACAGCAGTGGGGGTCTGCCTTCACACTGCACAGCTAAAGATGGCTGTCATATTAAAGGCTCTATTCTCCATGGGGGAAACCGAAGAGCCCACGTCTGGAGTCAAGGATGATCCGGTGAAATGAAAACCAGTTTCGACAGCTTGTAGTGCGAGGCTAAGGAGTATGAATTAACCCATTACACATTACTTAAGGTCAAACAAATACATATGCATAATAATGACCTGTGATAAATGAGCAGCTCACAATCTGGCCATTGATCCCATAGATTAACTCGTGTTGTGACAAGGATGACTAGCCTTTACCTTAATAGATATTGAACAGTGAGATCGAAGTCACAGTATCTCCCATAGCACACCCAATATTGCACCAACCAAATTAATATATATAAAAATAACAACTACATTATAATTATTGGAAAAACACAATACTAGACAGTTTGACAGTGGTAGTGTGACCTTGTGTTAGGGGACGCTGTTGACTGTAAACATATTGAAAGTAGACACCTTTGCAAATCATCTCTTTGATACGTGGGAACCAAGAATTGACACTACTGAAACTTAACACTTGTTTTAAGGTACGACTCAGAATATATACTTTTCTACTGCAATTACAAATGCGGTCAGGGTTTGACACCTAAAACATGTCAAAAAGGGAAATGACTTTGTTTCTAGTGGTATTTGAACAATGTTAATGTGATCTATTAATTTGTGGATTTTGCTAAATTATCTCAAATGTGCTCAATTTACTGAGAGAAAAATAAAGCCACAAATACACCACAGAACTGCAGTCTCTCTCTCTCAGCCACTTCCAGCAAAGTGAGAGGATCTGGCCGCCCCACTGATTGCTTGCATCTCTGCATGTAAATGTAGTCAGATTCCCACCACAGCTCTTGAACGCAGCACCACGCTGGTAAAAGGTCCACTTTAGCCTAATCTCTGCATATTGTACTGCATTAAATTACACTGCACTGCCTTGCGTCATATAAGAGCCTACATATCTCTTATTATTCTCAACAGTATGAATAAATACTGGGACATGCACAGGTTGGAGTCTGCCTGATGTTGTATAGCCCCGGGAGAAGTCAAGTGGAAATGAGCAAGATTTAAAATGCTTTCTGGCACCTGCTCGCTTGTGTGGTACGCCGTGGTACAGCGATGCGCAAAAGGATTCTCCAAAACCACACACCACTTTGCTCTGGAACATGAGGAAAACCTCTTTAACGAGCATTTCAACATCACGATTAAACCACATAAAGTAGCGATGAATGCCAAACAGTGTCCTTAAATCGCTGTATTTCACTCTCTGTAGTAGACTATCAAATCTTTTATAAAGTAGCATTCCATTGGGTATCCTACTCCCGTCAGTGCCTATAACATCCGGCATTTGGCGCAAAGGATGGGTTAACGCTGCAGAATTGCGTAAATCTGTCACCCTGTGTGCGCCTTCAAGCAACTGGGCAATCCATCCTCCTAAGTATTTCCATCCTCAAAGAACATGGGGTGGGGGGCATATAACCATGGTCCTCGCGCATGGGTTTTTCCCCTCCAACTTCCATGCTGAAAGCCTATAAAAGGTACCAGCGTGCTTATCTGGACGTGCTCTGCATGCGTAATGATTATTCCCCAAGTAATCAACGAAGAGGGAAAGGGGAGGAGGGCTCGTAATAGACGGGCCATACAAGAGTAGTGAAAACATGCAAACAAAAGTGTAATGAAAGAGAAATCAGGACGGGTGGATTGGATCACCACGTTGTATCCATTGATTCCTAACGCAAAACACTGGCGCTCTGTTCCATTCATACACACTAAATCAAAACTGCCTATGCGTAAAACACGTTAACTCCTGTCCTTTCTCACATGCATCCACAAATCTTACCTTGGTTTTTACTCGGAGGAGAGCGGACCGCGCGGTGGAAGCGGCACCACGAGCTTGATACCAGTTCTAGTAGCGAGCACAAGCAGTAGTACGAGTGCTAGTAGTTGTAGTAGAGGTAAGCCCAGCAGTAGGGAAGGCTAATGGAGACGCAGGGACCTCTTATATGCCGGCCAAGGCGGCGTTTCCACCAACCAAGACGCACAAAAGGAGGCAGAACACTCCAGATTCCCATGCACTGCAGTTTTTCTTCTTACTCGATTATTTGTTGATCTTGTCTACTGTTGGATTACTCCTAGTTTCCATTCAGCTCGACGGTGCGACCTGTATGATCGAATGACCGGAGAGGCGCTTCATCAGCAAACCCGTATTATTTGTTGTTGGTGGTTGAGGTAATGGGACGCGGCGCGCTGCACGGACGACTTCTTCCTCATTCTTCCCTTCCCGTTTCCCCTCTCGCTCTCAGCCAAGCAGCCAGAGAAGTGCGCGGAGTGGAGACAGCGGCGGTGAGTGAGCAGGTCTCCTTTAGTCTCCAGTTCTCTCGCTCACTCGTTCGCTCGCAGACTCCCGGATCAGCCGCCTCCTCCTCCCTCCTCTGCTCTAGCGGTGTGTACTTTTGTGTCTCGCTATTATCCCGCCTCCCTGCCCTGCTCTCGTCCGCTTTCCATTGCTCACCCCGTTCACCCAAATGCCCCACTTAATTAACCCTTGCTCTGGATTTATCAAAGTGCGCGAATCAATTCTTCTCAATTCTATCCACTAACTGACCAAACTGGATGACATATGGCAGGAATTCAGCTTGCCCATATTTAATCATGCTTTCCATACTAATATCTTGTGAAGTTTTGCTGGTGTTTAACTTATCAATAATAATTATCTTTTTTTTTTTGTTGCGATGTCTTGTATTATTGACATAGTGAGGGCTCCGTTGATGCCTGATAAGAGCTCTGTCAAAGCTGCTCCTCCAATTGATCCCTCTGGTGCAGCATGAGGTGGAGGGGCATAACAGCAGGATGCGAAGTTGTCCATAAGACTTCTATGTCAACAGTCATATACCGTACTGTCAATATCTTCAGTGTGTAAAGCCTAATAATAGACATAATAGTCTACATGATACTCACATTTTATTTTCTCCATTTGCTTCAGTGTCTGTCCCTGATTTTTGAGCTAATTTTGTTTTGCCCCAATATTGTAAATAAAACAGGGTCAAAATAAATCTGCTGTGTGCCATCTGCTCCTAATTATAAAAATGTATTATTGTCCAAGAACCAGGAAGTGTGCTGTTACCATGGTTAGATTGACCATAATGACAAAAATCCGCTTTGGTCTCTGAAATGTGTGAAAAGCATTTATGATGCATTGCAGTGAATTACTGGGCTATAGGAAGTCTTAGGAGCATGGGGAATAACTAAACTCTTTAAAATGAACTAGTGCTGTTAGTCAAGTTTTAAAGACAGTAAAAATCAGGTACAGCACCTTTAAGTTTTTGTCATGGAATGTAATGCCAACACAGCAATTTGTATTTATAACAAGAATACCTTTTAAATGGCAAGTGGCTAGTCATAATTTACTCAAACGGACATTCAATTAGTGATTGGGGATTTTTACTTGAAGGAGGCAATGAAGGGCATTCTTACAAAATGGCCATCTCAAGTCTTGGCCTTTACTCCAGACTGGATACCTCTGGTACACAGCACATCCCAGGGCTACAGCAAAGAATCAGTCAAGAACAGTTAAACAACTGAGATCACAAAAGCAGCAGGGTTGGCTCAAGTTGGCTAAGTGCTCATGACAAAGTGATTTAAATTTGAAGTAAAAAGGTCAGACACAGTGAGGGTCCTGGCAGCCTCGATGGGAACCTGACGAGAGATAACTGTACACAGCTTCAAAGTAGCACAGGTCAAGCTGATCACACACATGTAAACACACCTCCCCTCATGTAGCGTCCATCATAAGTTTACAGGCAATACTACCACTGTGCCACGCAACACTACTGTTCAGAAATGCAGAAGAACTGGCTCAAAACACTGACCGTTTTCCAGATAAATTGTGAATGTCAAACAACATGTTAAAGTGAAGCAAAGTTGAATAATTTGGGAGTGGGTGTATGACACATTTCAGGAATTTTAATTATTTCAAAATTACATGGAAAGAGGGCCTGAAGTTTACTGTACAATCTGATGAACGACCAAAGTTTGTGTTTTGTATCTCTGTAATACTGCAAACAGTGTGGAGTTACATCGGACCCTTTGCCTGGTAATTCCAGCATGAGATCTCTCTGTATTTTTTATACAGATTGATATCTGTCTGGCCCCCACTTCCTCTGTTGCACCATGAGTCCGGCCGAACATGATTGTGCACTCAGATCAGTTTTTTTCAGTGGCGTGTGTGAAATGATGGAGCTCATTGGTCACTCATCATTTACAAATAAAATCTAATTTGTCACACCTCAGATTACCTGAGTTTAAGTCTTAGCTCAGTGATTTCTCAGAAATCTGTAATCTGTAATCTGTTTATTAATCCCCTGTTGTATTTGTTTTGTTTATTTTTGGGATATGAATGGACCATGCATGTCTCTGATTGGCTAATCCACCTGTCAATCACACCCATCTGAAAACAGGGAGACTAAATGATCAGACTCCCATCTTTGTAAAGTATTGAAGAAGTGTGTATTCTGGATGCTCTTCATCAATTATTATTATGTTTTTCCTAATAATGTCCTAAAGCACAGGGCCTCTTTTTATTGTTTCTAATTGTCCTATACAAACTTGGACTGAAAAGACAAAGTCAGTCTGTTAAATTAAAATTGTAGATTTATTTACATGTGCACATAAAATTGATGTATACGAATATATGTGTATATGAATATGAAGTATACCCTACTATATTATGACTACTACTACTAATTATTTTAAAGGATGTCGAAAACTACTGGTGGTTGAAAGGAATTTAACAACACTTTCATTAAAGTATGTAAACAATGCCTGGGGATAATGACCTAGTAGTCCTGAAAACCTGTTTTACTGTGTGCAATACACGCAAAAAAAACAAAAAAAACAACAACAACACAGCATCATTTTGGTAAGAAAATGTAAAAATAGCCCTTCACTCCACTAAGGAAGCATACAGAGATGACAGGCTGCAGTGTGAGCGGGGCAGAGGCAGACAGACAGGCTCAGGTGTACACTCACATGTCTTTGGACACAAGGAACAGAGATATACGACAGAGCTGACAGGCTGAAACAAAGAAGAAAGACACCACTGAAGGATATGGAACCAATCAATACATGCTTAAGTCGAATTAACACAGGACTCAGTCTATTGTAGCACTGGGGACGATGTAAGAAACAACGTAATAGTTTAGATTAATTATTTAAAGGTCTTCAGCCTAAGGGGCCCATATTATGCTTTTTTCTGATCTATGTTATTATGTTGTTTCCTCATCAAAAAACATACTTAGAGTTGTGTTTTGTTTCATTCACACACATTTAACACACAAACCCTGCATATTTAGGCTGCTTCTTCTCTTCTCTCAAACAGAAAACACTCTGGTCCATGTTGTGAGACACAATCACTAGAGTTATCTGGATGATTTCAACCCCTTTCTACTGAATTAAAAGGCAGCTGTTAATTTGAAAACTATCACTTTATGACATCACAAGGTGGGACAGAGTAATATAGGACCTTTAAATTAACTATAAACATGCCAGATTTAATTCTACTTCCTAAAATTGCTGCTATGTTAAATTTTTTGTTTTGTATTCGTGTTTGTATTTTTGTTTTTTTGAATGATTGTTATATCAAATAGCAAAACATTGTAGGCCTATCAGGTCACAAACTCATGCTCATTTGTGGAAAGTTTCTTTTTGGTTTTGTTTCCATTCTTTTTTTTCAGCTGAGTTTGTAGTAAGTCAAACAGTAATAGATGATATAACATGTATGTGCTATGATAAATGGATGTGAAGGGAGCATTAGAGCCTCTGATGTGAAGTTGACACAAGGAGGTAATAGCTTCAGTCTGTCCATTCATAATTCAGAGGTCTGCACCCTGGGGTGGCTCTGCAGTGCACAGCCTTTCACACAACTGCCAATCATAGCGTTAGCATTAGCTAGCAGCCTGATCGCTTCTCATGACGTAAGAGAGATACCCAGCATGCAGCAACGCTAAGGCCCATCTACCCCATGGGGCTTCATCTATAAATGGTCCATTCATGGGAAAATGGCAATATAAAAAACATAAAGTATTTATGTGATTTAGGGTGCACAGACTGACAGCTGCGAGTAAGATTGGTACTGTTGGGGTTCAAATGGCGTCACAACATGTTATAGGACAAAAAGACTTAATACAGATGGGGGTCGACTAAAATAATTATTGTTAGAACACAGATTTCTGTTGCAATACAATGAGTCCTTGGGTCTAGTCAATAATACAAATGACTAGCTTCAACATTTGTGCTTTTACCTTTTGAATATTTCATACCAAAATGCAATTTTATCTTATTTGAATCTGAAAAAAACAAAACAATACAATACAATACAATATATTTTGTAAACATCTGGCAATACAATTCCATTCTCTTTATTTTGACTCACTGAATACAAAATAGATTTCCTCCTGTCTTTCAGTGTTAGGCTCTCTGAAGTTTAATTCTGTTATTATTGTAGTACATAGATAATAGACTAGACTAGATAGATGGATAAATAAATATAATAGACAGTCTATTATTCTGAATGTTTACATACAAAACTGAATTCCTGCCTTGATCTGATTACAATAGGATTTATAAACAGCATATAAAGGCCCAACAGGAGACTCCAGTTTATAGCCTGCTTGTGTAACGAGGCATTGAACTGTACAAGATACAAAACAGCCAGGAACATATCAGACACTGTGCTGAGGTGTACTTATCCATAGATAGAGAGAGAGATAGAGAGATACTTTATCGATTCCAAAGGCAATTCAGGACAGAGAAGACCCAAAAGACTGTTTGTCTCCCACAGAGTTACGTATGTGTCCAAACTGTGTGAGCTACTGTGTCCAAATAATTTAACTTGTGGGTCAATAAAGTTTGTCTACCTCTAAGTCTATATTTAATACTGTATTTAAAAGTGAAAGTAAAAAATCTAGGGATGCAATGATGTGTTCTGACAGGTCATGAATACCATTTGTGGACATGAACCAGAACAAGGCTGCTTCTTTAGTAAACATAAGAGCTTGTACCAATCTGCATTTTTGCTTGGAAAACACAATGTAAATATTTAGCATGATTTCATCTTGATTTATTATTCCGTCCAAACCTGCAGTGGCCATGGTCTGAACCAATGAGCAGAATACTGGGGGGCTCCTCTCCACTAGATGCATTTTATTAGACTGTCACTATGATTATGATAATACCCCACTGCTGCTTTGAAATAGGATCATTTACATTTGGGTCTAATTCGAATGTGGCCATATAAAATAGTGGAGGGGCTCTGTGCTAAAGATGGCAATTTATCATGGAATACTATGACACTGTTTCACACACGCACCCGCCTCCTGATGCATTACCACAATAATTTGAGCCTGCAGCATAAGCACAATGGTTAAATACACA